TATATATATATATATTACCTTTCTGCGCTTTCCCAGAGGAACCCAAATCTGGGCTCGTTTCATTTTTTGAGAGTGTGGTGCATACCACAATGCGCATTTCAAGAAGAGCGCTAGCACCTCGCGACCCGCGGACGGCTAGGCCCGCCCGCCAGGACCCGTGCAGGCTTTGGAGTTATGGTGGCCCCATAGGCACTCATAGCCAGGAGGCTTGAGCATCCGCGAACCCCGGACGTGCAAGTGCCGAAGTGGAAAATCCACGTGGATCTCGCGTGATGCAGTGATGCCAGCGCTGGCATCAGAAGAACGGACAGCTGTACAGACTCATTGGAGTGGAACTCACTGGGAGTGGAAGTTAAGATTGTGGTAGGAAGATTACGTGGCAGTGGACAGGTGGAGGGAGGGACAAGAGCAAACACGGAGGTGGAAATCGACAACCCGACAATCGAGAAGAGGCGGGATTGGGGAGGTGGGGACCTCACGGAACGACGTCAACTCGGTGATTGGAAGTAGGGTGACATAGTCAAACATAGGGTTTTCTGAGAGGAGGTGAATGGGATTGTGGAGGTGGTAACCTGATGACTCAGAGGTGAATGGGATTGTGGAGGTGGTGACCTGCTCCGACGATTGTGGCTGGGGTAAGACAGTCAATCGAGGACACACATATAACGAGGAGTGGCGATGATATCCTGAGGAAGCGTGACATAACACACGCCACCGACTCGGAGGCACAGGAGAGGTCACTTTGACTGAAGACACCCTCCGAAGACTCACTCATTGAATGGCCGATAGTGGGAGAGGTCGTCCTGTTTGTTGACGACATCCTTGGAAGACTCGCCCAGTGACGGAAAAGTTGCCACTATCTATCGTACAACCCGTCGTGGCTGAGGTAGGACAGCGACTCAAGGATTCTCGCGAAACAAGGAATGGCGGCAATATCCAGGAGAATTGCGACACAATACATATCACTGACTGGACATGCAAACGAGATTCGGTGAAAAAAGGCAACGTCAGCAGGGGATCTCCGGACAAAAAGAGTTACAGGTTACATGCTCTTGCTCTCGCCCTGGCTCTCCCATACCTTCTCCTGTAAGATAATTTCCCCTTCCCCTCCGTGCCTTGTAACCTGTTCCCTCCCATGTCCCAATCATCTCACTCCCACAATTGGCCCTAGGAAGGATCTCCGAAGAATTGCGACACAATACATATCACTGACTGGACATGCAAACGAGATTCGGTGAAAAAAGGCAACGACAGCAGGGGATCTCCAGACAAAAAGAGTTACATGTTACATGCGCTTGCTCTCGCCCTGGCACTCCCATACCTTCTCCTGTAAGATAATTTCCCCTTTCCCTCCGTGCCCTGTAACCTGTTCCCTCCCGTGTCCCGATCATCTCACTCACACGCCCTGTGAAGTTTACCCCGCTCGACCACAATCCACAGCCACGCGGAAGGGCCACACACATCACCTGCCACCACACATCAGAAATTTCGAATGTTATAAACGTGACAAACTATACTCACTCTTTCTACTAACAGGCAAAGGCTTACACAATGATGGAGACAATTGGAAATACCGCCCCGCAAATGCCACGTGTCATCAGTCCAACAGTGACGGAGGGAGCACCCTAGAGACAACTCCACAACCCGGTTGAGCACCAAAAATCGAATGTTTCAAATGACGCTGACTCGCCCCGACCTCGAACTGACAAAACAGCACAAGGACAGTCGTCCACTGCAGAACGGACGGTCGTCCAACGAGGGCAACAGGGATAGGCATCCACAGTGTGGAGAGACAAAGTGGCGCCCCCGGGAGGGGAATTTGCTCTGAATGCACCCCCCCCCTCCTCGTCAGACGGAGCCCGGAAGCCACAACCACAGTTGATCACTGCTCTCTCAGCGCCCGGACGGACTGACCCACATGGAGCGTTTGCCCTTGCCTTCATGGCTCCACTCAAAAGCCACCTTATACAACAACTCTACGTCGAGCCGGAAAGAAAATTCCAAGTGAAAGATGGTTACATTTACCCGCACTCCATTTTCTCACCCCGTGCCCGAGCTACACGAGATGCTATCTACACTCAAAAGGCAATGCAGTATCGTTTCCAGCCTGACCAATCCACAATTCCCGTGAATGAGAAGATTAAATGGATCACCGAAAAGCTTGGAAGGGTAAAACCGGATTGACAAATAGTGTATGACCACTTTCTCGTAGAAGTGGACAGCCCGGACTGTGTTACACTTGTTGCCCTCTACCAGACAGATAAACAACTGCTTCTGAGAAACAGACAACTACAGCGTAGAGGACGGCAGGTCCAGCTCACAGCCTGGTCTCCGGCTGACCCACAATCAACTGACGAGAAAAAGGAATACCTCATGAAATCGAATTTCTGGGTCGAATTCCGATTTGTACCTTTGTGTGTGCAAAGAGTTATTCTCGCTCATTTGGAAGACATCGCCCAAGTAAAAGGCTACATCACGGACCTGCCCCAATTTCTGGGGAAAAGAGATGATTCGCTGTTGGTTGCAGTGGACTGGGATCCAGAATACCCTTTCCCCCTTAACGAAGAATGGAGATACTCGCTAGGGGGGAAAGAGTTTTCGGTCCCGATCGGTCATTCCCAAGACCCGTGGTGCTACGCCTGCAAACAAAGAGGGCACCTGTGCACAGATTCTTCTTGCCCAAAAAATGGTCGCAAAATGAAGGTAAAAGGCCTGGTCACTCCCCACAACACAGATGAAGAATGGTGGTACCCGGAGGAGCCGGAGCTCCAAGGTTGGATGTTCAAAGCCTATGCCGACGGTAGTCCTGGGAAATGGATATGGCAAGGGAAGGGCCACCCACCGCCGGGCCACCGACATTCCCATCAGGAGCCGAACTGATAATTACAGATGACTATAAACAAAAAGGCGAACGGGGGAGTTCTAATGAACCTCCCCACAATAGACGTGGCCGCTCCTGATCACCGCACCGCCCACAACAGCGTAATACCGGCAGAGGTGATATGCAACCTCTACAAAAACACAGCAGTGGGAACATCTGCAGACAGCAAGGCGTCACCCAAAACGTGAAGCTGCCACCAGGCAAATCAGGTACGTCCGGCCCTGCCCCCCCCGAGCAGATTTACATGCTTAAACCGAAAACAGAGGCTGGAGTGGAACAGCTACTGGCGGAAAAATCAAACCGTCGGGGGCAGCAGCAAGTACAAAAAATTAAAAAAAATGACTCACTGATGAAGTCTGATATACCTGAGCAGCAAAACATACAGGGTGAGCAGAGGGACCCAACCGGGAACGCCATGGGCCCAACAGCCCGTGCGGTATCAGCTGATGCAGCCACTGAACATGGGCAACAGAATACACAGGGTGGGCAGCCGAGACCATCCTTGCATAAGCAGGCCCAGATTGCCAGAGCTGAAACATCCAAGATTGCCAGAGCTGAAACAACTAAAACAGCTGAAACATTGTAAAGCACCCTTATGTAAAGCCGCAGACAGTGGTGCAAGTATAAAAAATACAAAAAACTGACCCACTGATGAAGTCTGATATACCTGAGCAGCAGAACAAACAGGGTGAGCAGAGGGACCCAAGCGGGAACGCCATGGGCCCAACAGCCCGTGCGGTATCAGCTGATGCAGCCACTGAACATGGGCAACAGAATACACAGGGTGGGCGGCCGAGACCAGCCTTGCATAAGCAGGCCCAGATTGCCAGAGCTCAAACAACCAAGATTGCCAGAGCTGAAACAACTAAAACAGTTGAAACAGCTGCAAGGCACCCTTATGTAAAGCCGTAGTCAGTGGTGCAAAATCAACAACAACCACCGGAAACGAAGGAAAGCTTGGAAAGCCTGGCATGACCACAAACACAAAAGTCAGTCGACTCAGGGCCGGACAAGAAACAGGCAAACGGAGAGAAAGGCAAACGGATCCTTCAGCCAAAACAGAAGGGCCCAACTGCAAGCGCCAATGCGTCAGCCGGTGGCTCTGAGGCTCACGGTATGGGATGTGGGAGACACGGGCACAAAGATGACCACACACATATGCATCTGCGGCAGAAAGAAACTCAGGCACAGGAACAGCAGCCCCGCCCCCTCGCCCCAGCCCTTGACTCCTTGCCCCCCTCCCATCAATTGCAGGAGTGCAAACCTCCGATGGCTGCAGGAAAAGCCGCATGGGGTGACACAGGAAAACAGAAAACCCAGAAACCCCTGCGGCAGGAGCCCTGCACAAGCAACCATCAAGGTGCAGGGAGTAAGCTGAACCCCCGGGGAATGTGGCTCAGAGCCAACTCCCTATTGAGCAAGATTAAAGACGCAGCCTTTTCCCAACATTGGGAGCTGACGGACACGAGGCAACTTGACAGAGAAGACGCAGACCATCCAACGCTCCGTGAGGACCCGAAGCAGGCATTGACACCTTCACACCTACTTCATGAGGAGCCAATGAAACTGCTGCCGCACCCTCCCAATCAACAATCACCCTCCCCGGACAAGCTGCCCGCTACGACGGACCATATGACAACTGTTATATCGGAAGTCACGGGGGAAACAAAGTTCATGCCCCCCCAACAGCCCCATGACCCGGTGGGAGTACGTCTGAGGGAAGCCGAACATGGGGAGGATGCGGGAGCCATTGTTTCGGCCACAATGCAATCAGGGCAGCCCGTCATAGCCCCGGAAGTAGGAAAGGAAGCTGTTGTTTCAGACACAGTGCAAATACAAGAGCTAGTGCTGCAACCACAGCAACAACAGTCTGCCTGCCACCAACAGCTCCTCTTGCCCCCCCCGGTTCAGCAACAACAGCACGAGCACAACCACCACCAGCAGCAGAACCAGCTGAATCTACAACAGTTACAGCGAACCTAGGACCAACAACTGCAAATGCAGCACGAGCACAACCTGAAGCAGCAGAACCAGCTGAATCTGCAACAGTTGCAGCGATCCCAGGACCAACAACTGCAAATGCAACTGTTACGTGCACAACAACACCCATAGGATGACCAACCGCTAATGCAACAATGTGAAACACAACAGCAGGCGCAACAGCAGCCATGGATGATGGCTAAGGAGCGGCATGAGCAAGGCCGAATGGCACAACCACCACCGGTACAATACGTGGGGGAACAGACACAGCAAGCACAGCATGCTCAAGAGGCACAGTGGCAAACGCAGCAACGACTGGCCCAGGACATGCAGATACTGCAGCATAACCAGCACCCGTTAGACACGCAAATGCTGACACCGCAACAACAACAACACCACATGCACGGTCAGCATCAGGAACAACAAGAACAACATCTTTAGCAACAGTATCTGCCAGGTGACCAGCAACAGCAGCAATGCCTGATGCAACACCAGCAACATCAGCTCCTGCAACGACAAGAGCATGAAGCACAAATGCAAATACAAAGATCGCAGCAACACCAACACTTGCATTCGTGCACATTGCTTCAACAACACCAACAGCAGCAACCACTAGGACAGCAGCAACAGCAAGTGGAGTTACACAGGCCACCAAACTGTGGAGATGCGCCACACCAACTGCAGCCACAAACACAACAAAACACGAGCTGTGAAGATCAATTCTGAGTCCTCCTGCAAGCACAGTTGGCACAGTACCAGCATCAGCAACATCAGCAGAGGGAGATGCAACAACAACAAGTCCTGCAACACCTCCACTTGCAGTGGCAACAACAACTGTGCTGCCAACAACAGCTCATCCTGCAACAACAACAACAACAGCTGCAGATGTTCTGGCAGCAAGAGCATGCGAGACAGCAACAACAAAACACCCTTACACTGAATGACCACCACCAAGTAGTGGCCGAGTTACAGACAACAGAAGAGAATACTCAACTGATCCAAGATATGGATACTACGGCTCCCGACGAGCCTCCGCAGATGAAGCAGGAACGTGTCCCCGATACAGAGGCAACGGACATCGACCCCAGGCCCTGGTCCAGCCCCCGCAAGACAGCTCACCTCCCCCTCCCCCTCCCCCCCCTCCGCTCACGGCACACGACGAGGTTAAACAAAAACTCGCCTTTTTGACTGAATGGACCCTCACAAAAATATTTTATATGGCAGCGGAGAGATCACACGACACGCTCAATACCAAGTACTAGGTGCAGGCTAAAGAGGTACTGATGTTCAGCCCATGAGTGTTAGCCACTGTTGAAAAGTACACCGACATACCATCGATTGATTGGATGGATGTCGGGGCGGCGATTGTCTTGGTGGTCAACGAATTTTTGGACAAAATCGAGCAGTATGCAAGCAAACAGTTTGACCCGAATCACTCTAAACAACGCCCAGGCCGCCCAGCCCCACACTAGGAAGTTTTCCTCCACGAGGGGCTGGCATGGCCTAAGCTTTTGGTCCAGGAGCTCAGCACCACTCTACATGGCCCGCCAGCAGCTGCTGCGTCCATCCAATCATTGGAAAATCAGAGCCAGCTACTCACATGGGAGGGTGAGTCACAACAACGGGAAGAACCAACAGAACACACAACACCTACAGACAATCACATGGTGTCTGCGTATCAGAGTCGGCAACCGCGCAAAATTGAGATATTGCATGATGATGATGATGACAATGAGATGACAGTGTGCCGGGACGTAGTAACACCAGAAGACCTCCCCCCCGGGAAACTGAAGGACCTGCTAAGACTCCAGGAACCTGCTGGCTCCCCGCTGCTGGTGCCACCTGGTGTCATTATCCTCCCATTGGCCAGGCAGCGCGAAAGAGGGCAGTGGATGTTGGGGCTCAGACCCCCCCCGGACAGACCTTCCCAGCAACCCCTGGACCAAGCGGGTCTCACTTTGGAAGGGTGGAGGGGCAACCCCTCCACAACTGTGATCCTCAAAAGGCTCAAATATTGGCGTCGTGAGACGCAAACAAAGGGACTCTTGGGGGTTGTGCTGCCACATTCGTTGTGACAGTCATTCCCAGTGGGCGTTATTCCGGTCATACTGTTGATGAACTCAAATGCCAAACCTCTGACTACACAGACCGGCTACACTTGGTTTACTCAACATGAGCTCATGGAGCTCCCCACGGACCGGTTCAGGACCAATTTTGCATGGACACTACGCAGGGTGCTGCTCTTTATGCAGATCCTTTTGGAGGATAACATGTTAGAAGAGCACAACCACTGGGACGATCCGCCGTTTGTCCTTGCAATAAAGAACTTGAACTGAGTGGTTGGTAGGCCACCACAGAACGACAGATATAACCTATTACGTCTGCGCAAGGGCCAATACACACAAGCCGAATCTTAATGTGCCACCAAGACACAGGAAGCCCGCAGACTGCCCAGCTCCTCCGTTCTCCTGAACGGCCACACGGACACAGTGACATTGGCCTGAGTGAACCCCGCGCTTCGAATGTTGACCCCCCGCTGGCCCTTACCCACCCGCTCACCCACCTGCACAGCAACACCAACCACCCCCCATGACCCCCCCGCAGACACCCCAGCCCCCCTGCCCCCCCCAACCCCCCCGATGTCCCCCCCCTCCCCATGTCTTCCCCCCGATTAGGAGGCAACCTCAATGGGCAGCAAAACTAGCTCGTGCGGACATAGATATTCGCTCTCTGAATGTTAATGGCCTCATTCAGGCCACACAGGCAAAAAAGGATGCAATCTAGGATATGCTCAGAGGCCTGGATAAGAGGGCGTGGCCGGATGCAATTTGTATTCAAGAAACACACTTGGAGGACACGCCGGCGCACACAGCAAAGCGCAAAGCCATCTGGCCATATACGTCCTTCGATGCTCATGCATTAGACAGAGCATCGGCGGGCGTTGCCATTTGGCTGCCCCCATCCTCGAAACTCAAACCATTGACTGTTGAGTCTGACAAACTGCATGGAAGATGGGTGTCCTTCTACCTGGTTAATGTGTACGCGCCCAATGACCCCACATCCAGGGTTGACTTTTGGCTCTCCCTCCACCAACAATTGTCGGACGACGCCCCTGTTATTCTAGTGGGAGACTTTAATACCGCACTTGACCCAGCGCTAGACCGCAGGTCCGCGTCTTGATGTCAAGATTTGACCTCCCCATCACCTGTCCCCCCTGGTCCGGACGCCCTCGTCCTTAAACAGATTATGGCAGACCGCCAACTCGAAGACGCATATCGACTGCTGCATCCGGCCCAAAAAGCCTATACTTGTCTGTCTTCCAGGGATGACCAGGGCTTGGCCAACTCCAGAATAGACCTTACATTGGTATCCAACGACCTCTCATGGGTCTAGTCACCACCGCGGAAATAACTCCTATCAGCCCGTGCAAGTCCTTTGATCATAGGATGATAACACTGGGACTCTCATTTCATAACCATATCCAAAGAGGGCCCAATTTCTACAAGCTCAATACCTCTCTTCTCACCCTACCTAAATTCAAAGAATTAGTTAAGGATTTTTGGCAGTTCTGACAAACCCAGAAACCCAAAGGGGAAGAGAAGGTGGACTGGTTCAACAAAGGGCTGGCACAACTGAGAGTGAGAGCTAAGAAATTCTCTATCCAACATTCCAGGGACCGAAAAGCCTGCCTGGAGAGTCTTATGCGAGAACTCGAAGAATGGGGTGAAGAGCTGATGAAAGATCCCCTGCACTTTCCTTCCTATCACAAATTGCAAGAAGCCCACAATCACCTCCAGCAGTACCTAGATCGACAGGCTCAGGCATGGAGAGTGCAGACCAAGATTAAGAAAGACCACACTGATGGCACAATGGCAAAAGCTTTTTTCAACAAGGCCAGAGCAAGGTCAAGGGCAACTACTGTTCCCAGACTCAATCACCCGCTTGACAGCAATGCACCACCGGCAACCAATGCGTATACAATAGTGGAGTATGCTGTCAGGTACTACCAGCACCTCTTCACGTTTGAAACGCCCCACAAGCACCCACATGAGGTCCACCAAGCGAGAGAAGCGTTGCGGCAGTCCATTCAGTCTCGCTTGACACAAAACCAAAAGAACACACTGGATAGGCCCATAACCCCTGAGGAGGTATGGGAGGCCCTGCAAGATATGGAAGATGAGAAGACACCCGGAATCGACTCTTTCTCGAAAGAGTTTTGGGTGCAGTTCTGGGACCTTTTTCGCCATGATATCATGGAGTTCATAACGGCGATACCAAAAGAGGGATCCTTTGGGGGGATGATTGGCCAGGGTGTCACGACTCTCCTTTACAAAAAAGGAGACAGAGAGAACATAAGGAATTACAGACCTATCACCCTTCTCCCTGTCCCCTATAAACTGGTGGCCAAAGTCCTCACCAATAGACTGTTACCCTTCATGAACTTGCTCATCCACCCAGACCAAACGGGGTTTATGCCTAACCGCAACATCCAAGACAACATTCTCATGGTCAACGAGAGGATCAAATATGCCCGCCAGAGGAAAGTCGAAGCGGCGATCCTCTTCATAAAATTTGAAAAAGCATATGATCATGTGGACTGGGACTTCCTCGATATGTGCCTGGTTAGGATGAACTTTGGTCCGGCCTTCTGTCAATGGGTGCACCTTTTGCACAAATCAGCCACAACTAACATAATGCTCAATGGCCACCTTTCATCGCCGATCTGCCTTCAGAGATCGGTGCGCCAGGGAGACCCCATTGCACCATTGTTATTTGTAATTGTCATGGAGGCCTTGGCATCATTGATCCGATCTCATCCTCAAATCAGCAAAGTACCTATCCCAAACATATCCCAACACCTCATACCGGTGACATCGCTCTTTGCAGATGACCTCACCGTACTCATACGTGATGACCCGACCAGCCTCCAAGCCCTCGCTCAAGTCATACACCTCTTCTCACTGGCTGCAGATATGAAGGTCAATTGGGGCTCCAAAACAGAGGGTTGGTGGCTCCACCCACAAGGAGACCCCCCCCCACCCGAACCGACTGTTGCATGGGCCCGCAAAGAAGAAGCCATAAGGATTTTGGGTGTGAGACTTACAGCGGAAGGCCCCCCGCTCGACCATGGAGACATGCTGGTCAATATGGCAGTGGACAGACTGGCCAAATGGGAAGGTTTGCATACATCACTTGTCGGTCGCGCCCTGGCAATAAATAGCGCCATCCTTGCAGCCATCTGGTACAAACTGGCAGCGTGGCCACTGAATAAACAGCAGTACACCAGACTGAAGAAGGCGCTCACAACTTACCTGTGAAAAAACAGTGTCAAAACTCAGCAAAGCCTCAACAGGGTGAAATGGGATGTGGTCACACAGCCTAGATCTATGGGGGGGTTGGGGATCCTGGACCCTCAGAGAGAAAGCGAGGCACTCATCTTCAAGGTCCTTGTCAGGCTGTTAATGGGGAATGATATCCCTTGGGAACCGCTGGCCTGCCTGCAAATTGCCAGTCTTGCCCCACAATCATGGGTGCCTGGAACGGTACACCCATTCCAGTGGCTGACAAACAACCATTGGACCATACCATCACCCCCCAAACAGGCGCATTCAGCAAACCCACAACATGCAACAAAGTTGGACATTTCGGGCGATCCCCTCTGGCCCTACATGCTCAAACTCTGGAGGCAAAGAGGACCACAACAGAAACAACCCCCCAACAGATGGCATGATATATGGAGGCAACCTCTTTTCGGCAACCCGCACATCCTTCAAGAATCAGGAGACCCATTCCTCCTGACA